AGTCAGTAAAGTCCAACAATAATAGTACCTAGGTTTTTTATTTTTATCGTGATTCTCCATTTTTGTTTCTATCGATGATGCCTACCCAGAACATAAAATTTAATTTTATTTCATTATTAGAATAGAGAAAGATTATAAATAAATAAGTGTATCTGAGAGAGAAGAGTAAATAGGTTTTGACAAATAATAATAATACTCTCCCTAATTCACCCCTTTACGAGTGAATTTCAACCCCTGAAGTCGACTGTTATTATTATTATTTGCCGTGGCGCTCCGGGGCGACTTAAAGATGATTGATGGTGCCATTTGACTTACAGGTGAGTAAAACCCGGAAAACCTCACCCTCCATCATCTAGACGGTAATGTATGGCATTTCTTATAATCTGCATGTCATATCAACAGAAATTGAATTTCTATTAATACGGCACACATCAAATCCTATACCGAACCATGCAATTTATTTAAAAATCCACATGGTCTGGTTTGGAATTCGAAGCCCAGCAGTCTCTGACACATAAACTTGCTTATAAATGAATATAAGAGCGTTAAACCGCTACACCACCGACCCGATGACAAATGACAGAGTGAGAAATGTCAATGTTCAAGTAACGAAACTTTGGCAACGGAAACATTACAAAATCTATTATAGGCAAGTTATATAAAAGTTTCCTAAAAATGTACAACATTATATTATATTACTATAGGTTTTCAAACGAATTTATTTGTAAGTTATTTAGTGGTTTCCACAATGGTTCTGTTACTGTTACTTATACAACTTTAAGTTATTAGCGTTACTAAACAAAGGTGTTCGCAACCTTTATAAATGCCCCATTTAAGCTCTTTAAGAGGTTTATAGCCACAAGAGAAATGTTACGGTTGCCAAATATATAACTGTAAGTTTCATAAGTAAAGTGTTGTAAAAGTTACGGTAACTGCTATACAATCAAAAATGTTTATTGGGAATTGTAATATCTAAATAACATCATATATCTAAGATTTAATGGTTGGTAGGTTGGTACACTGGAATAGCAAATCTTGTAACTTTATTATTAATTATTATTTTGAAGTTTATTTCTGAAAAAAAAATACGTGTGGCACTCGGGGACTGCCGCGGTAAAGCTATTGCATAGCATTTTTTATCAACTTATGCAATTATAATTATTTATTTTATTTATGCAGTATTTTTTTTCTTTGATATTAATTCAAGTTTTTTCTTTGATATTAATTCAAGTTACACTTTTTGAGCGCGGTGACCGATAAGAAAACAATTTTTTTTCTTTTATTGAATAAATGAGAAGTTAGTATTGTTGTATTTATTAAAAAAAAATATTTCCTATTTGTTTATCTTTTTGAATTTAAATAAATAAAGTCTCCACTGGTAGCTTGCATATTTAAAATTAGCTGAACTTGAATGAACCTCGTTATGCGCCACTATGCATTGAATAAGTTTATACTTTTTAAAAATTAAACATTTTAAATTACCAAGACTGTGAAATAATAAAACAATATTTTTCCTTTAAAAAAAAAAAAAAAACAAAACAAAAAAAAAAACAAAAAAAAACAAAAAAACAAAAAAAAACTAAAAGTTTCGGGGCTCAAACCACCAACTTTGCTATCCACACTATCCAAATTTTGACCACTGTACGCTCTGCGCCACCCAGCACATCTTGATATAAGTTCGGAATCGTTTATACTAATATATAACATTTGATTACAAATATTTACGAATTATTACTTTTTAATTAATCAAAAATAAATTGGAAACAAAATTTTATCATGTCAAATGATACCTTCATTGTAATTTAATGGAATCACATAAATATATGATTTAAAAACTATAAAAATATCATTATTACTTAATTGTATTAATTTTTAATCTTGAGAGATAAAAAGTTTAAACATAAGTCATCTAAATAAATGCATTTTTTATTATACTCCGAAATACGAATTTAAAATATACAGCTGTAAAAAGACACGTGACCAATAGCCAATGGGAGCGTAGAGAAAGACTTTAGTAACGGCAGTGATCAGCGCTCTCACTCACACCTACAGCCATACGCAGCCTATCTCTTTCTATAGTTAATAAGACTTATTTTTATGTGGGCCGGCAATTAAACCCCGGAAAAAGTGTCTGCCTTTTTGGAATTAATTTTTTTTTATATTTAATTAAGACGCTATTAAAATTTCAGCGCGAATCAAACACTTCAAATCATTTAAAAAAAAATTAATATCTAATATTTACGCCAGCCGGGAACATTTCATAAACGTTCCAGTCCGCAGACGTATATTTAACTCCGCATCATACTAATACAAATAGGGTCGGATTCGGATAAAACCTTCCACGGCATTCAATGCTGCAGCGCTGTGCCGGTCGGAGTGGGGGGTGTTAGGTTATTTTCGTTACGGTCGTTACGGAAATTTCTTGATTCGGTCGCCGCGCTCAAAGCCCGCGATAAAAGCTATGCAATAGCTTAAAAAATTTTTGGTTTTCACTGTGCATCTTGAGAATGTTAAAAACGTGTAGAATTTTATTGATCACTCTAATCAAATTGTAGCATACCTATTATTAAATCTTCAATATGATATGTCGCTTTAATATTACAGTTTAGAATATCTCAATTTTGGCACATGATAAGAGAAATAAACATTCCGAACAAGTTTTTTTACTTTAAGTCAGGCAATGCAAGAACATCACGATTAGTGAACCTTTATTTACTTCAAATTTATCATTTTTTTGCCAGGAACGGTTTATTTTTCCATTTTGAAAGATACATGTTTCATAAATGAAAACGAACTAGTATAAAGCTGCTTCTTTTGCATTTCTCTAATTTCTTTCATTTATTTTTTTTTCTCAATTCAGTTCACACTGATGTAATATTGCCATTAAACATTTGCTTCTCAATCGACTTTTCTCCAGAAGGTTTCAAAGTTATACATTATCCTGCAAATAAGTATGTATTTATATTACTGTAGATAGGTATACAAATTAAACTTTTATTTTATTAGGAATATATGATTGATTGGATAAATAGATTTGTCTTTATGCATACATTTCGGATTCCACTTGTATCCAGAGTTATTGTGTTAGTGATCCTTTGTTTATATGATCGCTTTTTAAGTGGCAATTTTATTTATTTATTGTTCTTGACTGCTTGCGAAATACTACTGACAGTAGAAATATTTAGGCCCAGTTGTACCATTTAAGTTCAGGCGAGGTTCAACTAAACTTGGTTTTGATTGTGACATTTGGGTATAGTTAGTACGACGTTTGTCACAGTCTAAACTGGGTTCAGTTGAACCTCCCTTAAACTGGAGTGGTACAACTGGGCCTTAGGGTTGCTGCAACACGCTAAAAAAGATAATAAATCAATTTCATATTTATATACATTTCTATAATTTTTAACTTACTTCTCATAAAACACTTTTACAGCAGTTGAAGGTAATAGTGATTCATCATTATATCAGATTCTCATCCAAATACTATATAACGAAGCTACATGCTCCTTACAACGACTATTTAGTTTTTTGGCATTTTGTATTTATAAATAAAAGAAAAATAATCAGCATTAATTGGTAAACATAACCTAAAATCTAAACAGTGAATTGTTTAAAAAAGCTAATGGCAACACAGCAACAAGGTATACCAACTGCCGTAATGAGATTCCGTCTATCAGGGGTGCACAACATACGACCCGCGGGCCAGTTTGGCCCGCCTACGTAATTTTTCAGTAACAAACTTGCATTTAGGCTGACGACCTTTTTTTTAGAAATCTGAACCGACTATTGTCTCTTGGCGGCCCTCGTACAGTTACGGTTTTTCAAATCTGGCCCTTTTAAAATCTGAGTTGTGCAGGCCTGGTCTATATAAATACGAGTTTCATTGGAGTACAGAATGTCAAAATTATTTAATATAAAGTATGGTTTTCTGAATACCAATCATGTAATAACATTAGTATAAATTTGATATTATCAAGAATAGGTCGTGTATAAGCTAATTAATTGAAATAATTCTAAAATTATCAAAAAAATCACTATTATATTTTTCAATTTTTTAGTAATATGACTACGTTCATGAATGCTCATAAATATTCGTGACATTTTCGGATTATTAGCTTAGGGACATTTTAATTAGTTGGTAGAACTATGACGAATGACCGACGTCATTGCTGACGTGCATCAGGTGTATTAGAATATACCTATGAGCTTATTTTGCCTATTTTAACTTCCTCTTCATGTCCTTAAAATATTTTCACTTCCTTCCAAATGCCTCTGTATACGGGTTTAATGAAATAATTATTTAAATTGTCAAAAGACAGTGTTCAAATTAAACATTAGTTTTTTATAAAATGTTTCTTGAGATCCTCGAATTTTGTAGCAACGTGGCACCATCTACTTTCTTGAGTTTTTGACGTGCATTGAAAATTTAATTGCATTTACTATACTATACAAAATAAATGCAACGTTTATGAGAGGTAGATGAGGGAAATCAAAACCTTACTTACTTATTTATTTAAAACTACCTGTTATGTTAACACAACGTAATGTAATTTTCTATAAAAAGTATCCACGAAAGGTACTGTAAACATCACATTCTGAATTCGGAACGTAGCCATTTGTTTATGTTTATATTATAATAATAACATAACCTAAAAAATTGTTAATTTGAGATATTCCTTGCATAAAAGTCTTGCAGTTGCGGATATTCTGTGGTTGCACGGATTTTAGAGTAACATTAAAAGTACATTGCGTTCAAGCTTAAAGAGCCCGGAATTGCAGCCTATTAACGTAGATCGGATATTTATGTGCTAGCTGGGTTCAATAAATTGAAAGTATTGAATTATTAGAGTAACCAGTTTTCTATTGCTTATCATTTAGTGTTATTTAAAAAAATTCTTGTAGGTCATTTGTCTTATTATTAAAAAAAATGTTTCCATTACTCAACCCCAGATGAAACCTACATATTTGAAAAAATTATTAATCTGCTTCTTAAAAAATTGTGAAAAGTTATTGCAAATAGTTTTTATTAATTTTGACTACTTACACGCATTTTTATATTACAAACCTCTTTTCGAATAAGACCCTAAACGATACATCCTTGTTATTTAAATGTTCAACAACATCCTGGACTTTCATAGTTAAACGAAACGTTTCCTAAATCGTATCCACTTGCGTCTTGCGTCAATTGATTCCAAGCTGCTTGGTTGTCAAAAGTATCTTCAAGCATTGCTCTGTCGAAAGTGTTATCCATCATGCTTTCATCCATTAGCATTGAACCTGCTTGTCCCACTCTTTCCCAAGCGGAGCCCATGCTTAAATCTGGCGGGCTTTCGAAAGGTGGTGGTGAGTAAGCGGCTATATCAGCACCAGCTGCTGATGCTGCCATAGTGTCAAACATTTGATTATGACGACGTGTAGCTCGTGCTGTACCTGTACCGAGTTCTCTGCGACCAGCAATTAGTGGTAAATGCGCCCTACCATAACGACCTAAAAGATTAGGGGTACAAAAGTTTTAAACCTTACTGTAAACGCACGTGATGTGATTTCATATGTGGTTGTACAGAAACTATTAAACCTTTACCTCTTTGAGCTGCTGGTGTTACTGGAACAGCATCGTAAACTTGAGCTGGAAAAAAATAAATGTTTAAATTTGGATTTCGAGTTACTACCTTTATGATTTAATAGTATATTTTGATATAGAAACCCCCTGTATATCAATTTTTTTAATAAATTTGCCCAGACTCTTAAAAGGGGTGGTTCGGTTCTAAAAATTTACAATATAAAATTAAAAAAAATTGATATACAGGGGGTTTCTATAGCAAGTGTCGCCAGCCAACGTGGAGCATTATTTCTAGAGGGAGGTCAAAATTTTGGATATTTGTAATTTTGGAATTTGGAAGGAAATTGGTAAGATTGTTTATAGTTTTTTCTATTTGAATTGTTGATTTTGGGATATTTTTTTTATAAAGAGAGGATGAAGATATTGCATGTGTGTGATGTTTGTATGGTTTAGGAGAAAAGAGCAGGAATACATTGACAAAATATAAAGTATAGGAAATTTGGGTGGAATTTAAGTAGGGGGAAAGTAACATTAAAAGCCAAGTGTGACGTGGAATGTAAGGTATTAAAAGTGGTTAAAGTTTAAAAGTGATATATTAGATAAAAGTGATATATTAAAGTTATATATAAGAGAAAGTGATATATTAGATGGACTTGCGAGGAAGAAAGAAGGTTGGTTTGATTAAAGAACAAGAGAGAGATGATGAAAACATAGGACAAGGAGATATGGAACAGCAAAATATAGAAGATAGAGGAACAGGACAAAATCAGGACAATACAGTGACATTAGAAAAGAATATTGTCGAGACGCAAGAAAGGAAAGAAGGAATGAATTTGGAAGATTTTATGAAAGTGCTCATTGGAAAAATGGATAAAAACAGTAAGAAAATGGACGAAAACAGGAAACAAGATAAAGAAGAAATAATTAAGAAAATGGATAAATTAGAGGAACATAGTAAGAAAATGGATGAAAAAAGGAAACATGATAAAGAAGAAATAATGAAGATGTTTGAGGATTTTAAAATATACACTGACGAAAAAATTGAAGAAAATAAGAATATAAGAATAGAAATGATAGGAAGAATAAATGAAGTACAAAATGAACAAGATAAGAAATATAAAATAATAACTGAAAAAGGAGAAGATTTAAAAAAAAAGATTTACACAGTGGTAGACAGTGTTAAAACAAGTGTAAATAAAAATGATAGTAGGATATCGAATTTGGAGAAAGTAAAGGAAAATATCAAAGAAATAGAAGAAGAATATAGTCAGAAGTTAAACAAGCAAACAGGTAATTTGGAAAAACAATTATCCAACAGAAGGGATTTTAACCTATTAGAAATAAAAAAAGAAATAAACATAAATCAAGACAATAGATGCAAAATGATAAGAAATAAGAGGGAATGTAAAATAAGAAATGGTGATCTTGGAAAAGAAAAACAGAGAAAATATTGTTTGAAAAATAAAGCGAAAATAAAACTAAGAATAAAGAAAATGGAAGAAGATTATAAAAATAAGACATTAGCAAGAAAGAACATAATCAGAGAAGAATGGAGAATCATAACCAAAAATAGGAGATTGACTGAAAAAGAAAAAGTCAGGAACAAAGTAAAATAAAAGTACAAAGAAAGCTTCAAAAAATGTAAAACAATTAGTATAAGACATCCAGCGGCGAATCCTGCATAAAGATATATAAAAAAAGTTAACAAAGGATTTTATCTAAATAATATTCCTAACAGTATAACGTGTGAAAGTCCATTGTTTATAATGAAAGGTGTTCTGCCAGAAAGGAAATGGGAACTAGTAAGTGAGGAGAAGTATGAAAGAATTTTAGAAAAAGTGAACTTAAGATTGGAAAGGAATGCACAAAAATATATAAGTAGAATGAATAAAAAGATAAAGAAAAAAATAAGGTTTAAGAAAGGGGATTTGGTGATCGTGAGAGCTTTGAGGGTATCAAATACGAAAAGAAATAAGTGTGCAAGGTTACAATTTCCGTTCGAAGGACCTTATGTGGTTGAGAATGGGAATGGGGTCAATAGTTATATGTTAAAGGATGTGGAAGATGATAAAGTACGAGGGGTTTTTCATGTACAAGATTTGTACAAATATGAAGTATAGATTTAGGTAGTTATTTATTGAATTAGTATAGAGTTGTCATTTTGAGTTTGAGTTATTAATAAATAATTTGTTTGGTTTGAATGAATAAAGAAAAATTTACGAAATCAACATTTCAGATAGGAAAATAATAACCAATCAGGGAATTTCAATATTTGGATAAAATTTAAAATTTATTGTTCACAGTATATTTTAAAAATATACTGGGCGAACAATTAATTTGGGGGATTTGATATAGAAATTCCTGACGTCATAAAATGTATTATTTAAATTGAACAATACTGGGGTGGTGAAGTGTCTGGAAATCAAAATTAAAGTGAAAATCAAAATGTCGGGGTTTTTGTTGATTTGGAGAATTGTCAGTGAAATAAGAGATTGTCAGAAAGCTTTTTGGGAAATATGATATGTTGAATTTGTTTTGAAAAAGAGAAAATAAACGAGAATATATAAAAAGGTAAAAAGAGATTTTATTGCAAAGTTTAGAGAACAGATAGAGCAGTGAGAGGAATCGAGGCAGACAGAGGAAACCAGCAGTTAAAAAAAAAGAGACAGTGACCAGAGGAGACAAGCAGTTAAACATAAAAGAAAGGTAGTGAGAAATTTTAATATAAGAGGAAAGTGTAGCAAATAACAGAAGTAGCAGGTTGGAGTACAGAGAACGAGCAGGAGTAGGAGAAACAGGAGAAGCAGTAGAAGTAGGAAAAGCAGGGCCCCTAAGAAGAAACATTCAATTTTTTTTTAAGTTTATTATAATTTGTTTTTTAATTTTATATTGTAAATTTTTAGAGCCGAACCACCCCCTTTTAAGAGTCTGGGCAAATTTATTAAAAAAAATTGACATACAGGTGGTTTCTATAGCAATTTATATACCTAAGGGGTGATAAGTGAGCTATTATATATCGCCTTCGGTTATGTTAAAATACGGAAAATAAGACATTATCTGCTGGTGGATAAAAGACATGTTACGCGGACGGAAAGTATAGACTCAAAAGTTCAGTAAAACTAAATTCAGGTGAATATCTATAGGGGAATCCTCTTTCCTTTACTGTGGAACTTAGTGGCAGATGATATTTTTAAAACATTGGATAATCAAGGATGGTACACCCAAAGATAAGCCGATCACATATTCATCCTTATCCGAGGGAAACGCAAAACCGCAGTCTTCGAACTAATACAACGAGGCCTAAGACTGGTAGAATGGTAATGCTTTAAGGAAAACTTCTTGGTTAACTCCTGACAAGGCACAATTCATAAACTTAACTCGGAAAACAAGTTTGGAAGTACTGGAAACTCTAACCCTCTTTAAAGAAGAAGAACAACAAACTAATTAAAATATCTTGGGTCTTACTAGGAAAACTTATCGATTAACACTGAAAATGATCTACTGGCTTTATTCGACGATAACCACGATTATCTATCATCAAGCGGGTTTTGTTGGTCAAAAATAAACCAGAAAACAGCCCTCAATACAGAGGCTGGGATGTATTACAGGAGCACTGTGAAGTATACAGACAGCTTCCATGGAGGTAACTATAAACCTCCAACAACTGATTTAGTCACAAATACAGAGGCCAGAATGAGCACCAATAACTGAAATCTGCTGGGAAATATAAAACATACCAGAATAAGACATGAGGTAAATAACCTTATATTACGAAATGAGAGGACACAGAATCGGTAAGTTTATGCTAAGAAGACCAAGCCCACACAAGGCTGCTTTAAATGTTAATAAAACAAATATGTTATTTTTTTCCCCAAGAGAGTTAAATTATAGTTTACTGGTCCACCATAATGGTACATCTATAACTCAAAGTAGATGTGTCACATTTTTAGAGGTTCATTTTATTTGTAATGTTCCTTGGGATTTTCATCTAAAATGTATTATTTCGCTCAAATTCACTTGATTTTAAATTACTGCATATTATGTTGGAGAGTATGAAATAGAATAAATGACACTTGTGTTACAAAAAAGACTATTAGAACGATTACTTTTAAAAATAGACAATTCTCGTGCAGACAACTGTTATTTCCGTTTATATATGTATTATATGTAAGGTCCAGTCATCAGAATTTTCTTTGTTTCTTAGTTTCTTAAAAAATAATGGACTTGAGTTATTGCTTAGAGAAACACCCTGTATGTTTGACCCATCCTCTACTATTAGAGATGGTGAGGTACTGTCTTTAACTAAAACACTATCTTTTTTAAAGTTACAAGAAATTTTTTTAGGTATGGCGCTGGAGTTAGATATTTTATTCTGGAATTTTTTTTACAAAAGTTAGGTATTGTTTTCATTCCGCTAAAGAAGGTAATTTTGAACATTTATAAGAGTGCGGCCCGTAGCCAGACCTTGAGGCACTGCCTGTGGTCCGTTTTTTGAACAATCAGAGCAACTCACTACTGTGTTATTTTTGTAGCCACAGCGATAACAAAAGATATTTCGTTTAGAAAAACATGTTGAATAAGTATGTCCAACTTTACCACAGTTATAACAAGAAATATTTGATAATCTACTTTTATTTAATTGGCTATTTTTATTACAGTACTGGTTAGTATTATTTGAAAAATTATTACTATCAGCAGCAGCAGTGTTATTTACATGGGGATATTTAAAATTTGGAGATAAACTTTGAGCATCTTCTAGCTTCTTACATAAAATAGATAATTCATCAATAGTCTTAGGGTCTTGCAATGCTAAATAAATAGAATAGAATAGAATAATTTTTATTAACTATTTTACATAAGTCATTATGTTTATAGCAAGTCATAGGTGGTAACAGAATTTGAACAATATAAATAAAACAAATAAAACAATAATTATTAGAGTACCAGAGTTTGTACAATGTAAATAAAAACAATAAATATTAGGTACTTATCAAGGTTAAAATTGTGATGAGGCAGAGTGACAGTGAGATGTCTCATACAGACCGAAAATGAGCTACATAATCATT